ATTTGTACACAACTGCCCTCCAAACATCAATCTGCAACATCCAGCCAGTGTTTTATAAACGATATGTAGATGATATCTTAGCCATTTGCAAAAGTGGCACAGAATCATGTTTCTTAGACCGTCTGAACAGTGACTTCCCAGACGGCATCAAATTCGCCATCGAAACTGAACAAAAGGACATCTTACACTTTCTGGATGTATTGGATAGGCGAAAGAAAACTAACAGAGGTGTACCACAAACAGAAGCATACCACTAGATTCCTATAAATTATTTCCTGCCATGAAGTACATGACTGGAGTAATGAAAGGCATAGCTAAAACTCATACCAACAGATGCCAAAACTGTATTCTGATGAATCCGACAATCGAAACGAACTGAATTTTACATTAGAAGAGCTTTAAAAATAGTGGATACTCCAACCCCTCGTAGAAAAAGCCATTCATCAACAAATGAACCCTCCAGGCATGTGGAATAAAGTCGAAATGCGTGAATTTACCGAAAACGTAGTGTCTGCCTTGCGTATGCTGCCTGAGCGAAATGCTTCGTAGGCCTGAAAGTTGTATTCAGTGCTTATCTTCGGAGTCTACTAACAAATGTCAGCGCAACCGGCGCTGAAAGGAACCGCAAATTTAGAAAGATCAGGGAGACCATGTTCATCCAAGGCAACAGAGGTATAAATAGAGACAATGTCAAGGACCTGAGCAATATGTGAACGTTAACTGCTAAAAAACGCTGCCATCCATGAACAGCCCAAAATTATGCTTTCATAATAGATCAAACTTTAACTTAACGGTTTGATCATGTAAATTTGCACTTTGAAAACGAGCCGTGTACGAATCGAAATGTCCGTAATTTGTGCAATAAAACATATACGCGTAACAATCCCGTAAGAAATGAGGAAATGAGGACGGGGTAATTTATTTGAAAATTTAATTATAATTAATTTAATAATCTTCAAATGCCACGAAACTGGTCTGAATGATAACAGACGAACAGGGCTTACGAACAAATCCTGTCTTGAAATGGAAAGCACCATTTTAATGAACATATTCAACAGGTCGTCGAGACAGCTGTCGCCGTAGAGACGGAACACGCCGAAGTTGATGTATGCAC